CAATGACTAGCCGGAATGCCTTATTTCTCTAACACCTCCTTCTTGGGGAGCAAAGAAATCCGCGGGCTCTGATTCACCACTCTGGTATCCTAATCTTGAGGAAGGTGATGCCCCAAATCTGAAACACAAACCTTTTGGGTCACCAGCACTGGATAAACCTGGCCTCTGTTTATGCACAAGGTGAGCGCTATTTCCATCTAGCTTGGTCCATCTAGAGACTTGTTCATCTCGTGATGAACTGAGAAAAACCCAGTGTTCTGACTCAAGAGACCAAGCAGGAGATCTTGGTTGGTGATAAATTCTTGGCAAGGAATTTGGTAGTGAGCAGAGCTTGTTTAGCAGAGGGGATGGCATTCCCACACCAGCAATAATGCCTGGACCAGAGGACGCCTGGCACCCCCAGCCAGGATTTGGTGATACACGCAACAGCTCAGGATCTAGATTCAAGTTTTCACTTATGTATGTTCTCCTTGCATTCCTGGAATGAGCTCCACTTGGTCATTGGGATGAAAAGAGTCAGCATAGCGGGCTAGACACTGCTATTTTTAGAAAGATCTGTTTGCAAGGTTGGCCGTTGACTGGTGGTCTGGAAACTTGGCATTCGAGCCGTTTCCCGACTTGTAAGGCTGATTGACAACATGATTTATCCTGTACACTAGTTTTCCTTCTGGAGTCTCGAGTTTCAGTAGTTGCCAAGCAGAAGATGCCTATCACACCACTACCAATAAAGTCCTTGGCACTGAGCCTTTAATGGGCCTCCTGGACAGGAGCATTGCACACATTACTGCATCCTTCACTGCTAGAGAAAAGAACATGCTTGACGTGCCCCTCGAAGGAGGGACAGAGTATAGGAAGCCTGCCCTGGGTTTCTTTAGACTATGCCCATGTCTTTTTTCTCTGATGAACCTATTGTGTATCCTTTCCCTGTAATAGACCCTAGCTGTGAGTACAACTATATGCTGAATCCTGCGAGTCTTCCTAGAAACTCCACAAACATGTGGGTGGTCTTGGGGACCCTTGAAACTGTCATGATGTATTATTTTTTAATGAGCTGTTGGATTGTGTTTGCTAATATCTCCAGTTCAACTCCCATTTGTCAAGCTTTTCCTTCATGCCCACTACTCTAGACATCTTGGCAGATAGCAACTTCTTTAGTCTTTTGAGGGACCCATGACAACTCATTTTACAGATGAGAAAACCGAGGTCCACAGAGATGGCGTGACTCACCCAAAGTCATGGAGCCGCTGACCACCTAGCAGAACTGGGAACCCCAGGCTGTTTGCTTCTGGGTTAGGGTGACCAACCATCCTGGTTTGCCTTCCACTGAGGCATTTCCTGGGACATGGCACTTTGAGTACGAAAACTGGGATGGTCCAGGGCCAACGCAGACCGTTGGTCACCTTACTTTGAGTCTGCTGCTGTTTTCTACTGACTGGAGACTTCTATTTTCTTACAGGAGAGCTTGTCCCCTTTAGGAGGTGGGCATAGTTTGCCCCAAATCGGACGAGCCACACACCTGGCCTCTCAAGGAGGACAATTTCCAAATTCCTTTCTCTGGCGCCAAACACTGGGCCTCCCAACCTGCTGGGCTGCCTCTGCCCCTTCCCCTTCTCCACCACGGCCCCCGCCCCCCTGCTCGGCCCATCACATTTTTCAGCATTACTGGTTTGAATTTCCTTTATCATCCCCTTTGCAAAAACTTCTCTCCTGATTTAATTACTACTCCTCTTAATTCAATTTCATTCTCTTGATTGTCATTAAACTCCCAGAGTTGTTTCTCCAAAGAATTTAACGGCGAGGCCCTCTGCTCAGAGATTAATTGTCATCATTTCACCGTCAAACACAGGTACTTTCTTACTTCTCTTCAATTATCTCCCAGAGAAAGGGAAGTGACCATCCTTCTTCTCAGGGCCTCTCTGAGAACAAACACTGCTGGGGGCTGCCTTTTGAGAGAGAGAAAGAGAAAGCGAAGTCTCTTAACTTTTTCTTCCACCTTCTACTGACTCTAATCTCAGGATCTGAGAGTAGCCAGAAAGCCCCAGGCTCCTCAAGGGCTCAGGCTGTGAACAGGTCGGGGGGCTCTGGCAGAGGCAGCCCAGCCTTGAGAACTGAAGGCTCTCTGTCAAGAGGGGTGTGGGACGGTGAGGAAGGGCAGCAGGGGTTTGGCTCTGGCCTCAAGTACCCTGCCCAGCCAGGGTCTCTCAGAGGAACTAAGGCTGTAGCTCAAGGGAACAGAAACACCTTGGGCTAGAATTTCCCTTCCCTGGAGTGTCGCTCTCAGGACACATAAACCCCCGTGTCCCGTGCTCCCACTGTTCCCTCCTCTTCTCAGTACAGTGGGCCTTTGATCTTGAAGAGACACCCCCCAGCCCTCAAATTCTGTTTTTGCCAGCTCTGTCACCCCTGAATCTCCTCTGTCTTTGTGTGCAAACCTTGAAAAACAGTTGCCAGAGAAGGAGGGATGATTCCAGGTGGGGCTGCGGCCAGCTTCCTGTATGATCCAGTTGCTGGCCCTCCTGCCCAGTTGGGGTCTGAGACCCACCCAAGCCTGGCACCTAGGAGCTGTGTGATCTCAGTGCTCGGCTACCGTGGGCCTCCGTTCCCTCGTCTGCAGATATTCAGACATCATACCGTGTGAAAGGGATATAGGCCTCCTTTTCCATTATGTCAGGATTGAATGAAAGAATGCAAGTCAAGCATTCAGGACAGCGCCTGGTACGTAATAAGCCTTCCATAATAAGTAGTCATATTCACAGTGAGTAACATTTGGTCCTAGAGGTTGTAGAATTCCCCCCCCAACTTTTAGTACTGAAAAGAAAATTCCAATTCCAATTCCATTCTCCAATTTGAATCTGAAGTCTTCTGTTCAGTCTCTGACTCTGCTTGGATACCTCCTGCGATGGGGAGCTCACTGCTCTTTGGGAATCCCTGTCTTCTTTGGGCTGTTCTATAGATGCTAAGTAGGGGTTCCATCTACAGGTCTGATGTGCTTAAATTTTCCAATTACAGGGAACAAAATGCCTTTCCCTATTCAACAGTAACGTAGGCTGCCGGAGAACAGGACCAAATGATTGTCTGGAGGATAATTTAGTAAATAACTCAATGACATATTCTTAGGTAAGGGTTCCAGACTCCAGACTCTCTCCTTACCTGGTTCCTGGGATTCTAGTGCAGCTGAAGATGAGGTTGGGGCTGAGGAGGAGCCCAGCTTATTCAGGTACATTTTATAGACAAGGCCTTAAAGATCCCCAAGGAATCTATGAAATCACCCTTTTCTTGGGTTCACAAGCACTCATAAATGATACCATCTATTCCTGGTTATTCATGCTCGTTAAATGTCAGAATAAAGAGCATAGAGCTCACGAGGGGCCCCTATTACTCTGGGGCCGCTTGGCTGCATTTATGAAGAGAAGTTGCTGGGGTGTTAAATATAAGCTACCCGATTTGTCTAATAAAATTCTTCCACATCTGATGTTGCCAGCTTCGTGTCATACACTCTTGTGCTATTGGGACATTACCAGAGTGTATTTTAAATCCCCATTGTGCCTATTTAATTTTTATTTAGAGGAAATGATTTTCACAGCTTAAGGCGGATTTTCTAATGTACCCATATACCTAGGTGTGAGGAGTTAGAAATGTGCTGTCACGTGCACCAAGACGGCAAGGGAATGATTTAAGGGTAGGGCAGTATAGGAAGGAGCGACTGCTCATTCGTGGCTCATTTACTTGTAGATCCATACTGTTCTCCCAAGACTTACGGTTTGTGCAGTAGTGGATTCACATTTCTCTGTTTACATAAAGCTGAATTTATTCTCATCTCGTGCTTAATTGATTTAATCATATTTTAATGACATATTTTATATAGGCTTCTAGAAGGTTTGGATTGGGCCTTAGAACTTAATTTGGCCAATCCTTCCTGTTACAGGTGGAAACGTTGAGGCCCAGAGAGGTTGAAGGATTTGCCCACGAGCCCACTGGTAGTCAGCCCAGGGCTGGGATTCCAGCCTAGATTTTAAACATTCTAAGGTAGTGCTCTTTCTACCATAGTAGGAATCCCTCACTATACGTACATGTGTCCGGCTCTCACGTACACACCCACACGGGAGGGAGGGCACACGCACACATAAATATGTTTACGATAAGGGCATCGGGCTGCAATGTTTGTCAGCATTGACCACCAGGATTCTCGGGATCCAACTGGGGCTTCGTGGCCATTCTTGTACCTCTCTCTCTGTGTCTCTTGAATCTCAGCCATAGCTGGGTGGGGGGTGGGGGGTGGATAAAAAATAGGCAAGCCCTGAATTAGAACAGCTGGCCTTCAAGCCAGCTGTCACTTTACCTCTCTGGTCCTCAGTTCCCTCGTGTGTAAAATGGAGTTACTTTTCCCGGTAACTTTCCCGGTAACCCTCGCGCTAACCGCAGTATCTGTCATACGGGATGTGAATGGTGTTGGTTTAGAACTCAGTCCAGGTGCAGGGGGACGAGCTTCCTTAATGATGCTAGCGGCTCCTCATCCTCCAGCTCCAAGAGATTCTGTTTATTTTGATTTAATCCAGCTGGTGGATCAGCTTGTTATCACCCAGGTGCTGCCCCTGCCTCAGGCGCATTGATGAGGCACCACAACGTCCTTTCCCGGATTTCCCCTCACTGGCACACAAGGCATCTACACATGTGTTGCAGACTTTATAGAAGACTCGAGAAAACGGAGAGGTTTGCATGATCATGTTGCTTGTTTTCCCGTCTTTGTTAGAACACCCTTCCGTAGGGTTCACCCCAGAAGTTCCTTGTCTCTCACTTCAAAACACAGAATTACTTAGCTCATCAATTCTCTATCATTTAGGAATTATGTTTTGCTTCAACCACGACCTGTAAAACAATGTCTTAAATATGGTTTACATTTTTCTCCCTTTTGAAAGGACTTTGGAGATAGGCATCCTAAGACTGGTGCCATAATCTCATCAATGTCCTAACCTCTTGTCTTTCTGTTTTACTATCCTTAGCACTAGCCAAAGGTCGTCAATCAAGATCACCTCAGGACTACAAAATGACTGCTGCAGCACCGGTCATTACATCCATGTTCCAGGCAGAAAAAGATGGAAGACCAACAAGGAACCTGCCTACGTAGCCCCATTTTCAGGAAGCATTTCCAGAAATCTTACCTAGTTTCTTCCTTTATACCATTGACCAGAAGGTGGTCATATGGCCACTTGTAACTGGAGGGGAGGCTGGGAGATCTAACTTTTCAGCCAGGCACATTGCTACCTCCAACAAAATCAGGGCCCTGTGTAAGTAAGAAGAGAGGAATAAACTTTGGGTAGGCAAACCAGCAATGGCTGCCAGAACCCCCAACTCTGTTCTGGGCCTCCCTTTGCATAGCCCATGACTCACTGCATTAAAACTAAGAGGCCATCACATGGCTGAAGGGAGGGAGTGGAGCACAAGCAATGATTGGATCTTTCATCTGCTGTCTCCACTAAAAGTCTCTGAAAGTGGAAGGGCTGGGGGGGAGATTTATTTATTTCTTTATCCCTCCTCCCACCCCAGTATGAAAATGACCACCTTGCTTAGAACAGAAGAGGTTACGGTTGCCTTTGGTTTCCTCTTGTGCCGCCAAGGATTGTCTGAGTGTCACCATGTCTCCTAAAGCTGCCTGCTCAGCTGAAGAAAGGGGTTTTCTTTCCTTTTTTTTAAGATTTTATTTATTTATTTATTTATTTATTTATTTATTTATTTATTTATTTATTTATTTATTTATTTATTTATTTTAGAGAGTGAGAGCAGGGGGAGGGGCAGGGGGAGGGGCTGAGGGAGAGAGAATCCCAAGCAGACTCCACACTCAGTGTGGAGCGTGATCTGGGGCTTGATCCCAGGACCCTGAGATCAGGACCTGAGCTGAAACCAAGAGCCGGAGGCTCAACTGACTGAGCCACCCGGGTGCCCCAAGAAAGGGGTTTTCTGAGACAGCAAGAGTGAGAGCCAAAGAGAAAAGGAGCCAAACGGGAAGGAGAAAGGCAGTGGTAGAGAAAGAGAAGAGGGAAGAGGGCCTTTTAACGTCCAAGGCAGAACAAAAATACATTGACAGGACCGACACTGGTGAGTGACCCAGAGGCACGTATAATGGTCTGGGAGCATCCCAGTCCTTTGTTCCAGTCTCCCTCATTTCAGAGCAAGATATGTATGTTGAAAACTATGTGAAACATATGAAAAGGCACAAGAAAGGATATTTTAAAAACTGCTTTCTTGATGTATAATTGACATACACTAAACCGTCCATATTTAAAGTGTGTCATTTGATACATTTTGACATAAGTATCCACCCGTGAAAGCATTGCTATGATCAGCATCGCATACCCATCACCCCCAAAACTTTCCTCATCTCCTCCCCTCATGCCCCAGCCCGGCCACCTGCCTCCCCACCAGCAATTGCTGGGCTACTTTCTGTCACTAGAGAGGACTTTGCATTTTCTTAAACTTCATGCAAATGTATATAATGTATGTGCTCTTTGGCTTCTTTCACTCAGCATGACAATATGAAAAAAAATACACCCAAACCCAACTTATAAAGAAGTATAATTAATAAATAACAGAGACCTGCCAGGATTGAGAAAAGTTAATGTTTAGTCCTATTTGCTTCAGCTTTCCTTCTGGTTTTTTTTTGGTAATGTCATTTATACAAAAAGTTTTTAAAATTTGTACATTTTTTAATGAACAGTTAGAAAGCAAACCACTATGAAAGCACCATGCAGGCCCAGAAATGGGGCCTTGCTCGCACTCTGTGTCCCGCCCTGACAACTCCACTTCCCTCCCCATTTCAGATCATCACTCAGCTCACTTTTGGGAAAGTCATTTTCTTGCTTTTCTTTTTGGTTTTATGACCTAAGTATCTGTCCCAGGATGGCAGAGTTGAGTCACCTGTTTGTGAATTCTGTATGAATAAGATCATCCCACACGTCTTCTTCTGTGACTTGCATTTTCTCTCGTTCTGTTTGTGAGATCAGCCCCATTGTGCCGGGTGGCCATGGTTTGCTCATTTTAGTGGCTGTGGAGTATTGGGTCGATGCGATCAGACAGTTTGGCCCTGCATGGGCACTCAGGCCTGGTAGCCACCAGACAGTCATCACTGGAGAGAAAAGCAAAATGCCCCCCACCCCTGCTGCCAGTCCCCCCATCCCCCACTCTGTGTCCAGGGAAGGTTAACCATAAATAGCCACATATGCAAATCATAACTATTTACAACAATAGCTTCTGCCTGACAGTATTCTTCTGAAGAAGCAAGCACAAAGGCTTTTAAGGGGAATCATGAACTTTATGTCATCGTATTCGTCGGCTCAGGCTGCTATAATGGAATACCATAGACTGGGGGCTTAACCACAGGAGGGTCTTTTCACAGCTCTGGAGGCTGGACGTCCAAGATCAAGGTGTTGGCAGGTTTGGTTTCTCCAGCAGCTTCTCTCCTTGGCTTGCAGATGGCTGCCTTCTGTCCTCACCAGGTCGTCGCTCCATCTCCTCACTGTCCCCCTCTCTGTGCTGCTCTCCTATAAAGACCCCAGTCACACTGCATTAGAGCCCACACTAATGGCCTCATTTTACCTTAGTCCCCTCTTTAAAGGCCCCGTTTCCAAATACAGTCCCATTCTCTCTCACGGTGGTACCGGGGGTTAGGACTTTGAGATACGGATATGGGGGAAGGGCACAAGGTAGCCCACAACACTTGTGCTGATCTGAATACAGCTAGTTATATTCCCCCTGTGAGAGAGAAGACGCAGGACAAAGTTGGAGGATCTTTTTCAAAAGGCGGCTCCTTTACTTCCTCTCTCTTCCTCAGGTCTTCGCTCCACCTGGATCACTGCACCTCCATGCCATTAGCCACATGCTTCTTTAAACGATGCTCTCACTATAAATTATATAGGAAACACAAGAAATCAAAACCTAGTTTCATGTTTCCTCAAGCATCAGAAACATAAGAGTCACTGAAGTCAGTGCTTGCAGCCGGAGATTTTTTTTTTTTAATTCTTATGTTAATCTCCATACATTACATCATTAGTTTTAGATGTAGTGTTCCATGATTCATTGTTTGGGCATAACACCCAGTGCTCCATGCAGAACGTGCCCTCCTCAATACCCATCACCAGGCTAACCCATCCTCCCACCCCCCTCCCCTCTAGAACCCTCAGTTTGTTTCTCAGAGTCCATCGTCTCTCATGGTTTGTCTACCCCTCCGATATCCCCCCCTTCATTCTTCCCCTCCTGCTACCTTCTTCTTCTTTTTTTTTTCTTAACATATATTGCATTATTTGTTTCAGAGGTACAGATCTGAGATTCAATAGTCTTGCACAATTCACAGTGCTTACCAGAGCCCATACCCTCCCCAGTGTCTATTACCCAGTCACCCCATCCCTCCCACCCCACCCCCCACTCCAGCAACCCTCAGTTTGTTTCCTGCGATTAAGAATTCCTCATATCAGTGAGGTCATATGATACATGTCTTTCTCTGTTTGACTTATTTCGCTCAACATAATACCCTCCAGTTCCATCCACATTGTTGCAAATGGCAAGATCTCATTCCTTTTGATGGCTGCATAATATTCCATTGTATATATATACCACCTCTTCTTTATCCATTCATCTGTCGATGGACATCTTGGCTCTTTCCACAGTTTGGCTATTGTGGATATTGCTGCTATAAACATTGGGGTGCATGTACCCTTTCGGATCCCTACTTTTGTATCTTTGGGGTAAATACCCAGTAGTGCAATTGCTGGATCATATGGTAGTTCTATTTTCAACTTTCTGAGGAACCTCCATACTGTTTTCCAGAGTGGGAGCCTGAGATTTAAAAAAAAAAAGGGTTCAGGGGCGCCTGGGTGGCTCAGTTTGTTAAGCGTCTGCCTTCGGCTCAGGTCACGATCCCAGGGTCCTGGGATCAAGCCCCACATCAGGCTCCATGCTCAGTGGGGAGCCTGCTTCTCCCTCTCCCTCTGCCCATCCCCTCTCCAGTCATGCTCTCTCTCACGTGTGCTCTCGCTCTCAAATAAGTAAAATTAAAACCAAGTTCACTGCATTATTCAAGTTAAAAAAATAATGATTTAGACCTTGGCCTGGCAGACCAGATCGCCCCTCCCCAGCCCTCTCTCAAGATGTTCTGTTTATTCTGTGATGACCTAAGTATCTGCTGACATGGCCGTTTACAAGCACGTTCTCACATGGCAAATGATTAGGTCCTAATCGCCTCGCACTGAAGTGGGGAAATAATTTGAATCCCTATTGTACCAAGGAGGTAACTGGAGAGTGAAGAATGTGAGATTCTTGAGGTCACATGGCAGGAAAGTCACAAAGCCAGTGACTTTCCATTTCTCGGTCTAGGTCAATATGAATGCCGTGGTCGCCTTCTCCTCTGAAGAGGAGGTCCATCAGCAGTTTTCTGTTTAAATTGGGGGTGCAGCGGTGATAGTCATTGGAGCGGGAACAAGTGAAAATAGCACGATGACTCTGAATGATCAAGAGGAAAATGAGTTGATCAGGAGGCAGGGAGACCAGGCAGAGTTGGGGAAGTAAACATCTGGTACCAGGGTGTACATTTTGCTTTTCAACCAGAAGGCACATGGGTCCCGCTCGATCTTTGTCGTCTGTGCTTTCTCTGCCATAATCCAAACTCACGGATTTTGTTATTTCATACTTTGTACATCTAACAGTTGCCACGAAAGTTTAGAGGATCCCCCTGGAAAACCATCTGCAACCTATAGTTTCTTTGTGGGAAAATTTAAAAACCATTCATTCAAGTTCTTACTTTGTTATAAAACGAATAGGGTTTTCCATTTCCTCTCAAGTTAGTATCGGCAAATGTGGTAGTTTAGGTCAGGTGCTGACCAACTTTGGTTGAGCCTAATGCAGCCACTGCCTGATTTTGTAAATAAAGTTTTATTGGAACACAGCCATGCTCATTCATTTACATATTGTCTATGGCTACTTTCTTGCTACAGGTGTAGAGGTGAATACTTGGGACAGAGACTGTATGGTCTGCAAAGCTTAAAATAGTTACTCTCTGACCCTTTATAGAAAAAGTTTGTCAATTCCTAAGCTTGATTATTATTCCCAAATATTAGCTGCCCCTCTCTGGGGGAAGGTTATACTTCCCCTGACCACTGACTTCAGCATTGGCCATGTGACATGCTTTAGCTAACTAATGGAAGTGATGTATATCACCTCCAGGCAGAATCTTTAAGAGCCAGCATGTGATTTACCATACTCTTTCTTTTTTTTTTCTCTTCCTGAAGACTGGCAATGTTCCAGATACAAGCTGCTTCATTAGCTTGGGTTTGAGGGAAGATAGACTGGCAGCTGATTTTGATGGATATGTACATGGCAACTTTTCTGCAAATCTAAAATTACTCCAAAATAAAAAGTTCCGAAAAATATTTTAAAAAATAAGTGAGCTGTACATTCATATTCTTTGAACACTGGTAGTACAATTATAATACCTATAAGGTCCTTCTCTGCTGATTCTAACATCTGTGTTAGGTCTGAGTTGGTTTTGATCGATTGATTGATCGATTGGCTTCATTATTGACCATGTTTTCCTGATTTTTTGCATGCCTGGTAAGCTTTGATTAGATATCAGACATTGTACATTCTACCTTGTTGATGTTAGATATTTTACAAATCATGAGTATTATTCTGGACACAGT